AGTTCTTTTGTCAGCCAATTAGAAAGGAATGCCAGTACTGTATTGTTTGTTATGACATGTTTGACTAACCAATCAATGATTAAAGCAGAAAATGTTGAATGTTTTTAGCTGAGTGGTGGTTTAAAATGAATTATTTAAGCAACTTAAGCAACACTATTGAAATATGTTGTGTTTTATGCGCCATTTGTTTATCTTAACAAAATATGGGATTACTTAGCTAAAGCTTCCTGTAAGTGGTTCGATGTTGTGGGACGGGGAACAGTCAGTGCCAACGCAGCACCAGCTTTTAGGAGCTTGAGCAGGTGATTAGGTGGACAGAACAGAACGAACTTTTCTAAATCCAAACCAGAACTTGAACCTGCTATCAGATGAAAACTTGGCATATCTCAGCATGGTGTGCAGTGTGTGATTAAAACATTTGAGGAAACTGGACAAGTAGAGGACAAATTAATACGAGTTGGGCCTACAAAACTATCTCCAGCAGAAGAAGAGGATCTGAAAGTGATGTCCGTAAGAAAGAGGAACAAATCAGAATCAGAAATACTTTAATAATCCCAGAGGGAAATTATTTTCGTTACCAACTCCAGATATACAACAGCATACTGTATACCAGCAAAGACCTGAACCAGGAGCTGAGAGATGCATCTGGACCTTCAGCTGATCATCTCCTGTTGGACTAAGCCTCATCAGAAATGCTCTCCATGGAAGGGGGGCTGTGAAGAAGCCATTCTTAAGGACGGGGAACAGGGAGGAAAGGCTGAGCTCTGCCAAAGAACTCAAGAAGTGGACTGAAAATCAGTGGCAGCAGCTCTGATGGAGGGATGAATCCTCCCCAGAGCCCGGACCTCCACATTATGAAGCAGTGTGGAATCATCTGACAGAGAACGGAGCCAAAGGCAGCCCACATCCAAAGAAGAGCTTTGGGACGTCCTTCAAGAAGCCTGGAGAGCTGCTCCTGAAGACTCCTTAAGAAGGACACACAGCTGGTCTACAAGACCAAATATTGACTTTCAATCCGGCCCCTTTTGTTCTAAAATCTTTTAATACTCTATTAAATTATCTGTTTTCGCGTTTCCTGGCAATTTGTAGAGACTTAAGAGGTGACTGGAGACTTTATCACGGCTCTGAATGTGAAATCCACTCATGTTTTCTGTCTAGCAGTATTACTGTAACACCCATTCTGAAGTACCGTGTACTCACCTTCTAAACATTTTGTTCCTTCTGCTACGCTGATGTAGTACAGCTATCCTGGTTAGCTTTGGCCATCTGTTACTGTGAGTGCAATCCTTCACTATGTGTGAAAATGGAAAGTTAGTACCAGGCTGACGACGTGTCACTTGGCACACATTTGCAGAAAAACAGGGACTGACAAGTAGTTTGTGGGTCACCGGGGACTTTGTCATGTTGTGATGAGGCACCTGTTATTCAGGACAGCACAGATGTTAAAAAAACTCAAACAAATTCCATGCTTTTTCTTTTTGTTTTCCCTGAGATGGAAGCAGTGATTGCCAGTCATGGGGGTGGCCTTGACATTCTATATGTCGCATAGTCTGAAGTAGTCTGAAGAAGCGGTGACGGATGCTCTGATCAGTGATTAGTGGCTACTGCTGCGTTTGTGGGACAGGGAGAGAGATTTGGGGGTTGCTGAGGGAAGTGGGTGACAAACAGGAGAGAGTGAGAGCTTCCAGAATGTGATCGGCGTTCTGCTGCATTACACTACAATGCTATTTCTATGTCGCCCTCCTCTCCCCTCCCTCATCCCTCTCTGTGAGCAGTAGTCTCCGCTCACTCTCGCTGCCTCGCAGCTCGCTGCCCTGCCACGGAGCATCTCTCTCTCCTATCGACTCTACTTTCTCCTCAGTGAGGATGACATCCTCGAATCTGATGAAGCAGTGGAGCTCTCATTCTGGCCGGAGGCTGCCGAGGGATACCCCACATGAGCGGGCTTACTGGACGAGGAGGTGCCGTATCTAAGGAGCTTAGAAGAAAAAACCTGTCAGCTCTGGCAGTTCCTGGGTAAGTGCCACACTCCTTTACTCATAAATGAAAGCAGGATTTGTGCTGTACTGTTCAGAGGAGCTGGTTATTCCCCCCCTCTCGGCATGTTGGAAGTGCTACTGCTTGACTGATTGACACCACAGTACAGGAATAACGGAACAATGAGTTACCCAAACTAAGGTGGCACCAAGCTTATGCAGCAGCTGCATCTGGGCTGTCGTGGCTGAGGCGGCATCCCTGGTCACGACACTGAAGCGCCTGTCTCTCCTCCTCGCTGCGCTTGCTTAAGCACATGCTCACACACATGAGTCTGTGAGGGATGTTCAGCCTCCTCACTGTGTGTCCACATCCATGATCAAGCCACTTACAAAGCTCACTGTGAAAAGCTGGCGTTTATCCACCTGACGGGATAAGTTTTTCCACAAAGTTTACCTCTTCCTTTTTATCTCGCGCCCCAACTTAGTGAGGGTCTGAAAAAGTTGGGGTAAAGATTTAGTGGAGGAAGAAGGATGAAATGAATGTGTGTAGAAAACAGTAAAAGGAGATGAAGACGGCGGTTGGAGGGAAGGATCTCTATGGTAACAGCAGTTTTTGCCAAGGGTAGAGGAGAGGTGAAGGAAGCTAGCTGCTTCACTCTGGCATTTATTCTGCTAGATCAGGAAATATGCTACTGACAGGACTTTTTCAGGCAGAGCTGGGCGGAATGATAAAAAGGAGAGACAGTAAAAGAAGGGATAGATCATAGGAAAAGACGATGATGGAGTATGTTTGAAAGTTGTGTTTCATCTAGCAAATATATTCTGTCTAATATTGTGAGAAGCTTGTGATGAAGTCTGGATGCAGACCAAACCGATGGCATTAGAATTTAAGGGAAAGATATACACCTGTGGATAGATATAAAAAGGACGAGAGCTCCACTGCTCCATATCAGCAAGTGTCATTTTCCCAAAAGGCTTCTTTAGAAGCCCACACTGATCCGCTCTGTCATCAGGGTTTGTGATATGTCGATGGTCTGGATTTTTCAAGTGTTCGGGGTATTTTTATAGATTTTAATCTTATCGTCTGCTAAACCACTGCAAATTAACACTTCAGAGTCAAAGTAGTGGAGTCTGTGGCGCTGATAAACCCAGCCAGAAAGGAAGGTGCTTGCAGTGTCATCAATAGAGAGTTCAGGGAAATACCAGGAACATAACCGTGGTCGTAGTTGATTTGGTTTAAATTTTTATCATCTATAAAGTTCCCATTCAACACAAAATGTAAAGGCTCTTCATGGACTGGTGACCCTGGACAGGTTGCAAGTCCATCACATGGCCACATAGAAACAAACAAGAGTGACAACCACATACTCACATGCACACTAACAGGACATTTGGAGTATCCAGCTAACACACAGGCAGAACATGCAAACTCCACACAGAAAGGCCCCCGAACCATCTTACTATGTGGCCTTGGTGCTACCCACCACACCACCGTGCAGCCCACAATCATGATCCAGTCACTTCAGTTAATCAGATTCCAAATCAGTCCAGTTTTTACAGTGAAATCATCAAATTGCACCATTTCTATAATTCAGTCAGACCAATTTAATTAAATCTCAAGTTGGTTCAATTAGCACAGAGACAATAAAAAAAGGTTTCCTCTGAATCTTCTCTCTGATCCAAACCTGGTTCTGAGTGTGACAGTGGGAAGGAAAAGTTTCCTTTTAACAAGAACGAACTGGTTCCACAGAGAGGGGTCTGATACCTGGAGGCTCCGCCTCACATTCTGCTTTGAGGAACTCAGGAACCAGAAGTAGACCTGCAGTCTCAGAGGAAAGAGCTCCGCTGGGAAACATTCAGCTGTGAGCTCTTCAGAGATGATGGAGTTGCTCCTACAGAGCTTTTTAAATTCTACAGGGAGCCAATGCAGAGAAGCTAAAACTGGGGGAATTTGACCTCTCCTGCTACATGTTCCACTGCATTCTTAAGGACTTTTTCTGCAGCAGCTTATCTGCTCAGAAATGGCAGTTTGAAAGGAGCAACGGCCAGTTTTAAGGTTTTGGTGAATTTTCTTCAAATCATATAAGTTAGCAGGAAACTAAGGAGCTGTAGAGCTTAGTTTGATTTAGGACATTCCAGAAGAATTAGCTGTTGTCATGACAGTAGATGTAAAGTGTCCCTTCTGTACGACAGAAGAAAAATAGATGAAAAGGAACAGTGAGCCGTTTAATTATTTATTATTAAGAAGTATCTGTGCCACTACAGAATTTCAACAGGTCTGTGATTCACTGCTGCCCACAGCCCATACAGCAGCTCTGGCCTCTGGTCACCCAGACTGAATGTAGAGCAGCACCATGACTAGGATGCAACCTCTCTCCACTCTCCTCCTCTTCAACAACTCTGAGTCACAGCCCAGCGCACAATTTCCAACCCACGAAGAAGAGCTCCTCGACAGAGTTGGAAGCTGATGTTGTTCTGCGAATGTCACTGATGAGCATTCATAATTAAACAGCCTTGCTCGAATCTTTCTGATAGCAGATGTGCAACCGAGCTTCTCCGTTCTGCCGTTATGTTCGATTTGTGTTCGGAAATCTTTGGCTGACCCAGACCGTCCAGATCAGTGGTCGGGCCGGTTTTCCTCTCGTTGTAATGAGCTGTTAAAAGTATAGTTATTGGTAATTGCTTGGAGGGTGTTAATTATTGTAGAGGAGGAGCCCAGCTGCACGGTCTGCTAGCTTGGCTCATTATGGGTAGTCAGCTAGCGCTCGAATTTGGGAGGAAGACAGCCTGATCTGTTTCCCATCTGGTGCCTCTTGCGTGCATGGCACCCCATAACCGCCAGCTTTACCGCTGGCTGACTGCTGAGCAAGTTTGCCACATTGTTAGGAAGCAAACAACACTCCATTATGCACCACTGTCAGCTTTTCAGCAGATAAAGACGTGTGAGATTCATTAGAGTGGTTTGGTTCGCTGCTCTGAAATATAAAGCAGGGCTAAAATAAACCCTTTGGGGGTCCTGCTAAAATAGAATAGCTTGTCTCTGTACCTGAGCTTCACAGACTCTGAATGCTTTGGCATTTCATCCTGAAAAAGACAGTAGGGAGATGATCCAATGGTGTCATGTTCTCACAGGCCGAGGATCAGCAGGGACATGAGAAAGCTCACCTCGGCTAACGCTTCGCTAATGCATCATCACTCATCGCCGCCACCTGCTCCGCCATCATGTCACGCCAGGGAAAGTAGAACTCTAGGCGTGACTGTGATGCAGCTTGGACACACGCTGGGTGGCCTGTTTTCTGCTACTGAACACCTCAACTCCTTGCACACCCCAAAAATGACCCGCAAGGCTTAAACACCACTTTCTTTTGTAGGGATTCGTCCGTCGCTGTAGGTGACACCCAGAACAAATCCCTTTTGCTAATACTTTTAAAAAATCTGAAATACTCTGTGTGTACGTATACCACGGACCATACACAGGCGGCTACAGTAAAAACACACAGTTTAGAGTGGGAGGTGAGCCGGTGCTTTTTATAGGCATTCCTTCTGTTGCTCATTCTTCTGCCTGCTATTTGATCACAAAAGCTGCCAAATATATCCAGCGGTGGTAAAAGAGGCTGTTGTGTGAACGCAAGTGGGCTATTTTTAGTCTTTGCTGAGGAGGGAATATAATCATCTTTGGTCTGAACAGTATGGCTCCCGAGTTGCTTTCTGCTGAAAGTCTAATCTGGGAGCAAAATATCATTGCCATTAGAAAGTATGTGATTTTTTTTACATGAACACGTACAGGAAGAGGTAAGTGCGTTGCATAAGAGCACTGAGTCAGCCCTTCAGCTGTCCGGAGAGGCTCAACAGAAGCACTGTTTATTGTTTCTCTCCTTCTACTCCCAGTCATCCATCTTTTCTCTCTCTCTCCTCTCTTTGCAGATTAGTGACCACATCAGTCATCTTTCAAGATAAGCCTGTCTCCTCGGGACAAATTTAATTACTTTTAGAACACTAAACATTCAGGACTTGCCGGACAAATGTCACAGGTATTACCCCTCTGATGGTAAGAGTTTGTTTCAGGAGGGAGCTAAATCACCTGTCTCTTCACACTTTACCAGAGCAGTTGCGTTTATTTTCGTGTCTCCCTGTTTTGCCTGTTAAAGATTTCAAACATACTTTTCAAATGGTGTTGCAGAGCCGACCCTCTGGTTTTTCAGGCTGCTTCCCCCACACTGTGGTGGCACTGTGTTTTTTGTGAGCGTGTATTTTCATTGTGATGATGTGTTAGTTTGGTCATTTTGGACGCTGAGGACTGTGACTGTGTCTGTGACTGTGCTGTCAGCCCCGCTGTTTGTGTGGTCTCCAGTGCTCCCCAGGCCACGCAGCGCTGTTACAGCAAATCCACCAGCGACATACGCCACCACATCAAAGAAAACACAGCAGTGCTCGCGCACATCTGTTTGGCACTAGATCCAGCCAGGAAGGAAATTGAACCTCAGATATTCGCAAACATTAGATTAATACTCAAAATTAACACACAAAAAACTGTGAAAAAAAAATCTATCCTAAGAGCTTAAATAAAGGCAGCTGGACTCCTCCTTTGATCTTAAAGAGCTTAAACCCTGTGAGCAAAAGGAACCTTACAAGCAAATGATCTGAGAATGACTAACTCTCATTAGAATCATTATTAGAATCAATGGAACATTTTCCAAAGTAATGTCTCAGCACATTGATTCTTTTTGTATTTCAACCACAAATAAAGTTTCAGAAACGGTTGAAAAAATGGTAGAACAGCACAGTAAAGGGCTGAATGTGACAGGACATTAAAAAACTAAAAGGTGAAAAAGGCAAACCCAAAGGATGTGTAAAAAATGAAACAGAACCAAAAAACAATTAAAACTGGAAAAAAAACAAGCACGCCGATTCTGGAAAGCTGTGAGAAAAGGTCTAAAGAAATAAATAATGTGCTTTTCCAGACAGAATGGGTTCTAATTCAAGTATATAACTGAAAGATACTAAAAGCAGAAACAAAAAACTTGCATTTTTTGTAATTATGGGTTTATTTTAAGACAATGATATGTGATGATACACATCACTAACAGATAGCTTCTTATACATCTCAAAACTATATTTTTGTCACATTTTTTCCACCCGTTTTTCCCCAAACTCATCATCTGTTTTAAAATAGTCTTCAAATTAATCTTATTGGGTCCGTTATACATTTTAGAATGAAGAAAAACAGGACCACCAACATTTTAATGATAAAAACTTTCATTTATAGATATATTGGCTGCAAATTGATGTGGTTTGGTCCTCAGAGCATTAACGAATTAACTATTTGCCCCACTGTAACTTCATATAACATTATTTAAACTACACAAAAATGGGGACAAACGGGCACCATTTATATCCAAAAACTCTCAATTCCAGTTAAAGCCAGACTGACAGAGATGTCTTAGTTAACTTTATGGAGCAGGTTTTAAAAAGTAAGTAACCTTCTTATTGAATGACTATTAAATATTTGGCTCAACCCATAAATCAGCTGTAGGATCTCTATTTTCATGTGATTTTACATACTTAAATTCTTTTAAAGGTAAAAAAAATTTGTACATGTTGAACTGCTGCCACAGTTTTTGCGAGGAACACAAAAAGGGTAAAAAATACAGTCCATTAAAGGCCAAATTCAGCCTGCGAATAGTTAGACAATGAGCCTGTGTACACAAAACAAAAACACTCTTGAGTTGTTTGGATGTGATCCATCTGCTTTCATTGTGGCTTACAGGTACTTAGTTGCCAGGAAGAAGAGGGCAAAAAACACCACGTGGTTTCTAAATGTTATTGGAAAGGCTTGTGTCCATGTTGTTCTCTTTCTTTTGCAGGTAGAACAAGAGATCTCACTGGTCCAGAGGAAGATGTCTGACCTCGAATCAGTGCTCCAGCAGAAAGACATTGAGCTAAAGGCCTCAGAGACTCAGAGGACCATCCTGGAACAGGATCTGGCAACTTACATCACAGAATGCAGTGTGAGTGGCGCCAAAGCTACAGAGCTGGCACTGGATTGACCGTTTTGCTTTAATTAGACACAAGTACATGTGTGATATAACATGGGAGGACAATAAACAACAATCATCAGTCTGCTGAACTCTTTGTAAACCTGCAAATTTGATTGTTTTTTAAGTAGTTTTTTTGCTTTTACACCAGCTTACATAGAGTTTATGTGTCGAACACATCTACTGTGGAGTCTTGCTTATTGAATATGACCATGTGGCCTTTCCTTAACTTTGTATAGCTGTTGAATGATCATCAGGAGTTTTTTTCCCAAAATATTAAGATATATTTTACTATTATTTTTGTTTCTGTAATATATGGTGTAACAGAACTTGTTTACTAAAAATTACAGCTCATTTTGGAGGGAAAAAAAGCAGAATTTGTGGATTCTTTTAACCTTTATAATTGCTGTTGAATGATCTGTAGCTGGTCGACTGAACATGTTTTTCTGATGGTTTTTTAGAGTCTGAAGCGCAGTTTGGAACAAGCCCGTATGGAGGTGTCCCAGGAGGATGACAAAGCTCTGCAGCTCCTCCACGACATCCGGGAGCAGAGCAACAAGCTACAGGAGATCAAAGAACAGGTAGGACGGCGCCTACAAGCATTTTACTTTATTCTGAAACAGAGAGAAACAATTTAGTCTCCCTGGACGCGGAACAGCTGACGTCCAAAGACTTTTCCTCTCCAAAAGAAGCAGATTCAGACGATAGTGGGTCAAGTCACTGAGGCTGAGCGCGTGGGCTGGAAGTGTTGGTAAGACGAGCACGTGGTGCTGGAGCCCCACCTCTCCCTCTGTGGGAGCGCAGTCAGCATGGTATTAAACACCTAAAGCATGTGCAGAGACGCCTCGTGCTGCAGAGGACTTTTAATTAAAGGGTCAGCCCTGTTTTTTATTGGCTCAATGGCGTTATAAGCCAAAAAGGAGTCGACTGCGAGGGCTTCGTTTTGCCAAACATCCCTCTGGAAACACACAACAAAACACACACACTCAGTGGATCTCTGAAGTCGAATGTGTGAGTGTTTGGACGAGTTTCATCACATTCTGCTGCCTGCTGTGAGCTTCTGAACGCAAGAGAGCGAGCTTATTAGATAAAGGAAAACCATCACGAAGCAGCTTTTTTTTTTTTTCCTTTTGCAAAAACAGGAAAGGTAATATAAAAGCAACCTGTTTTTCCTCCAGCCTACACGAACGCCAGCTACCAAGTGCTGAATACATTGTGCAGCGGTTGCCATGGCGACAAGAGCCATATACCTCCAGTGAGGAGAGCTGGGATGCAGTGGGCAGGCTGCTGTGATGAGGTGCCGGGGCCTTAGAAATCCCTCTCTGACCACCACTTCACAGGTCTATGAACAACAACGGTGACTTGTTAAAGAGGATTACTGGACATTACACCTGAACTTCAGATCAAATGCATTTATGCAGCTTCTGAAAGGGAAAAAAATGTGAAAACTGTTGTTCAGGATTTGCATTTTCAGTGCAGCTGAAAGTCTGAGGGACCCTGGAATTCAGCTCATGTCTTCCAAGTATCTTGTTCTTTGTGTCTCCAGAGGGCACATTATGTAGATTAGACTGTTTCCCCTATTGTTGTCATTCTGATGATGTCCAGCATTCTGATATGTGAATCCTGAAAACGTCTGGTGTTACACAAGCACTCAGATGCCCCGTCTTTCATCTCGAGCTGTCATCGTGGGAGGTGGAGTGCAGCAGGAGGAAAGGGAGGAAAATTGAGAGAGAAGGTCGAACAACAGACAAAAAAGAGCTAAAACAAGCTAAAACAACTGACCCAAAGACACAATGTGAGAGAGATTACAACAACATTCATTGCCATATGAATATTAAACTCAACCAAAATGCCAACTATGAACAAAAACAGAGCAACTGAGGCCTAATCTATCAACAAAAAGACTAATCAAGTCTAAACAAATACAAACAGAATAAAACCCGATCGCCAGAAAGAAGCTGAATAAAAACAAAACACATTAGATGATTAGGGAAAGCGTAAAAATACTAAAATCCAACATCAGATTATGTCACAGAATGGATTCATCATAAAACTCTTGAAATAGGACCGTGGTTCAAACCTGCTGTTTGTATTTTATGAAACAAAGGGTTAGGGTTTGTCCCTTCTTAGAACAACCGACACGTTTCAACACACTCATATTTAGCACTAAAGATGAAAATCAGCATGAGTTTTTACTGTAATTACTTTAAGTTGATAAAAACGTATGTCTTCCTTAAGTTCAGCTCCTGATGTGACACTAAAGCTCGAGGGAGCCACAAAGCAAAAGGGAGTGCAGGAGACAGCAGAAGGACGACAGAAGATGCCTAATGATCAAAATGGACCAGGATGTCACCAGGAAATATCCAAACGGGAGACTTCAAACACAGAGGAGCATGATTAGTGACGCACAAGTGAAGGGAGAGGAGCTGATTAGCAGAGTGGAACAGCAAGAGGAGGATGGCGAGGAGCAAGAACAAAGAAACCAGGAAAATGAAAGCAAACTAAGAACCATAATCTAATAAGAAAAACACCAGAAGCACCAAAAGGCTGGAAACAAACCAGAAGTATTTGACAAAAACCCAAACTCATGACAAATTTCCTCTTTGAATATCATTAAACCTGCTTATCTCTGATCAAATTATGAACTTACTTGCTTACTCTGTTAACATTTTCCTATTTTCTCAATGGGATTCACTTTATATGATTTTCTGGGGGGTGTTTTCGAAGGTTTAATAATTAACTTGTGATTTTTTTCAAAACTTGTTGCTGTTGCTGTTTTAACTCAGCTGTAACTTAACTATGTCCTATTGGTTGTAGACAGCCGCCTCCCTGCTCTTTCTCAGAAAACTCAGCACCTTTAAACAGATTGAAACAGTTGGAAATATTTGCTGTAAAAATGCCTTTAAGATCCTGACAGTCACGATCAGATCCTGTCACCTTTGTAGCACAGCTTTAATATGCAACACCATGACAATAAAAGGAGTATAGTCTGTAACTCTGGGTTTGCAGTGATAGCTTCCTGTTCAGGCCCGTTGGAGTTCTCTGTGCCCCCCTGGTGCCTCTCGGCAGAGTTTTTACAGCAGCCAAATCCAGCATTCATCTTGAAAAGCATCTGTCTCCCACGCGCTGTCATACGACTGCAGTGTTTATCGTTTTCATGCAGAAGTCACGCAGTGTTGATCCAACAAAGGCGAGGAGACCGGGGGTAGAGTCGGTTTCAGAGACAATTAAGGAATCTGTGCCGAAGCCCGTGAGACCTGCAAACATTTACAAAGTGACGATTTCATCAAAGGCACAAAAGCAAGAAACAGAGACAGACTCTCTCTGGAAACACAAACACACACACACAGAGGTTAGATGCCATAACACTTAGATTAGATAAGGTAACGTCTTCTGTCTCCTATTAGGTATTTTTATAGAATTAGAGTCTGTAATTTTATTTAATCTTCTTAAAATGATATGATAAACAAATATACTTCCTAATAAACCACTAGAAAAAAACAAGGAGTCTCAGAAATCATTACAAACCTTTAAAACTAAAAAGTGTTGAAAGAGAAGCAGCTAAATTCTCCTTTTCGTCTCATCTTAACCTTAAACTTCTTGAAAACCGCTTCCATTCTTCCTTGTTTATTTGGTTGTTAAATAGGTAAATAGATAGATAAATGTTTTAATTGCTGGGCATCAGCCTCTCTGGATGCAGGAGGGAGCTACTTTTTTTAGCCTGATAAGCCTGTTGAAGGGCCTGTGAGCAGATAAGATTTTTGACATCTGTCACGCTGTGAATAATTACCGTTTAGCAGACATGTGAGCGACTCTGACACGTCGACACGCTCTTTCTCTTGACGAATGAGGCTGACTTTAAGGCCCTTTATACCAGTTAGCAGGCGTTAGTTTGGATGTAATTCTCATCATTCCGAAGATTTAAAGCGTCCGTTGTGCTTTGCTGAGTGGATTTCAGCCTCAATCCTTTATGTTCAGGAGTATCACGCTCAGCTGGAGGAGATGCGAGTCTCCATCAGACAGTTGGAGGAGGACCTGTCTGCTGCCCGCCGCCGCAGCGACTTGTATGAGGCCGAGCTGAAGGAGTCCCGACAAGCCAATGAAGACCTGAAGAGGAAGGCTACAGACTACCAGCACAGGATGCAGAAGGTCTTAACTCTCACTGCAGCTTTTTATTTCCTGCTTTGCTAATTAATTAGCTACAGACAAATCACTGTATAAACCTTGATGGCCAAGAGAGAATAAAAGGAGGACAAAATCCACAAAATAAAACAGTTAATAATAAAGGAGACCAAGAAATAAAACCAGGGTCTGACTCCTCGTTGAATCCAGGGAGTAAAAGTGTGTTATTAAATTAGATTTAAGGACAGTGACTGAAGTAGCCTGTCTGATATGTGTTATTAAATCATTCCAGAAAAAAAAGCTAGAAAAGAGACAGATGGTTCAAACACATGGAGCAATTCTGACTGATAGTGGGACATCACCAGTACAACACCCAAAACAACTCAGTCAAGGAGTTTAAAATAAGCTCTAAATTTAACCTGAAGCTATTGAAGCGACTCTAAAACTGTTGTTAGGAGCTCTTCTCCCTGGTTTCTGTTAAAAAATCAGGCTGAGGGCCCTTCTGACCCCAAAGAGGAGCACATTTTTAGTAATCTTGCCTGGCAGAGCTTGTTTTTTCTTGATAAAAAGGCATAAGCAAACTAAGCTGCTACACAGGGGTCCTTTTTATGCACATGTGAGTGATGATTCCTGCCATCAAAGTTTGTTTTATCATATAAACACACATTTCATCATACACTTGTATTTTCTTATAGTTCTACAGATAATTCTTGCATATGTTAGGATGATGGAAACAGCTTATGTTGCCAAATATTAATTAAAAGATTTCTTTACTTGCCTTCTGGTCTGTAAAAAGTTTTCACACCTAGTGCCATATATATATTCTCAATGACCAATTAGAAAGCTACTGTAGTCGGGGGATGAATCAATAACCAGTAATGTTGAAAGAAAATAGAGGCCCCAAGTTCTAATTTTACTTTTGGTACCATGGGAACATAATAATGGAAAATTGGCTGGATTTTTGCTGACATTGTTAACATGGATTTCATATTTTACATAAGCATCCTTATTAACACATCAAGTATTTATCACTGAGTCAGGGGGAGAGGGTGATGTCAGTGGTTCCTCTGGTGTTGTTTGGAATTGAGTCTCATTCTCATTTAAATTCAGGCTCCATTCCCATTTGGTCACAGGGGTGCTCGTATCAGGTCCACTTTGTGCACAAAGTTAGCTCCTTCCTTTATCTTCACAGGTCAAAGAGCAGGGCAAAGCAGAAGTCGAAGAAACGATGGCCAAATTGGAAAAGGTAGGCGGTTTATATGCTTCCTAATTGCCTAAAGATGGGTGGGGCTTCCATATATTGGTAATATATTACTTTGAATCTCACAACTGTAGAACAGAACTGTAAAACAAGCATTTCCTCTGTTTTCAGACACTGTTGGAAAACAAGGGGGAGCAAAAATAGATAGATGGATGGATAGAAATAAAGATGAGGAGATAGAAAGAAAGAAAGATGAAGAGATAAATAGATAGATAGATAGATAGATTACACCTATTTTCACTGGTTGCTCTTGAATAAAGGAGGATTTGTTTTTATTTCTAATTTAAATGACTACGTCTCTCTTCTCAGGCCAGTGCCGAGCAGCAGATTAGGATCCAGGACCTACAAGAGAAACTTTCTAAGGTAAAATCTTTTCACCCAGCAGATTGATCAATAATTTACACAAGCTTGTACATGCAAATGCAGGAGACTTAACAGCATTAATATATCATACATCTCTTAAGCCCTCCTGACCTCCGTCTTTTGGTCCCCGTCTCAGTATTTCTGCGTCTGACTCAGTCTGAGACTCAGAGAGCAATTAAGCCGTCTTTTAAAAAATGGACTTGGCGTTTAACTGTCAGCAGACCCGTTCAGTTGCTTCATTCTTTTTCCCAGAAATGAATATTTTAAAATACCATCCATTTTTCTCACAGTAAATGAGGCTGTGATGCAGACATTCAAGGCTCAAAGAACTCACTTTTCAGATCCATTTGCATCTAAATGTGGCTCTGTTCATTAAATAACCACAACTTTTTAGAGGACTTTTTAGGTTGTTTTTTATTTGATCCAAATAAAGGAAATGAAATTATATAATTTATTCCTGAAATAAATGAAAAGTTTTCACCAGCCGACAGAAGGACAAAATCATTAATTCCAGTGTCTTCATTGATCGAACTGTCTGATCTGTGTATTTAAAGACTGTGAACAAATTTTAAATCAGATCTCATTAAAAAAGGGAGTGAGGGAAAAAAAACAGAAAACCATATTGATTATTCGAGTAACAGAGTTTTCATCCAATCAGAAGCTATTTATGGTGACAGCAGAGTCCGTCAGATCCAGGAATAGAAAGAATCTGAGAGAGATCAATAAACTCAAATGGACTCTTCAGTCACTAAATGTGACCTGAAAACCAGAAACGTCGTCCCAGATGGACAGAAAAACACCATGTCCATGTTTCCTTTTATTTTGGGAAAAACTCTCCTGTCTGTCCAGACTCCGAGGGGCCACCCTGGAGGTCTGTGGTTATTTCCTCACTGTGGCTTCAAAAAGAGATTGTGTTTGGTTGGCTGGCAGGCAGCCCAGATTTGTGTCTTCCTAACGAAAAGGAGAAGAATCAGACAACAGCAACCAGGAACTGTCACATCCTAAAATTGACACCCAGACATTCCTGTCATTGGGAACAACCCCCAGCTCATCTTGGGGGATCCTGAGGCATTCCCAGACCAGGAGGGATGAATAATCCTCCAGTGAGTGGACTTCCTCCCACTTTAAAATGCCCAGAAAGCCTCCAAAGGGAGGCGACCTGGAGTCTGGTTAAATTCTCCATTGACCTTATTGTTGGTCAGGAAAGGAACTTCTCTGTGAATGTGTGGTGTTCATAATGCTTGTTTTTCACTCCAGGCAATAAAGGCCAGTGCTGAGGCGACAGACCACCTTCAGAGTATGAAACTGGCCAAAGAGCGTCTGGAGCGGGATTTAGAGAGGCTTCAGAACAAGGAAGACTCCAGTGACAGCCTCCGCAGGCGTCTGCGTGAAACAGAGGTCAGTGCACATCCCGGCCCTCCACATTTCTGACCTTTATTTCAGGTCGTTTCATCGTGTCGTGGCCAGCAGATCTCCACTGCGGCCTTGTTTTTGTGAAATTAATAAATAAAAACCTTATTTGTGACATTTTGCTGTGTATTTAAGGGCCAGAATTGACCCTGAGAACTTTTACATTTTCAAAATGTGTTTTCATGTATTTTTAATGTCGTTGTACTTAAGTCATTTATTCAGCTGTGTTGTTTTGTATGATTCTGGAGACAAAATCTTGTTAAAGAGCTCTTAGTTTCTTTCACATCAGTGCACATGAGCTTTTTGAGTCCGTTGTAACAAATGACGGTCTTAGAGAGCATCAATTCATTTCAGAAAACAACTTAATTATATAGTTGTCAAAATGTTTTTAAAAAAGCACTCGCTGTGAGTTTCTTTTACAATTAAGGCCTTGTTTTCATATTTAAGAGTCGAACAAAGTCATGTGATTTATTCTGTTTGGTGAATATGAAGGATGGAAGGAAGACTTTGGAGAACCAGGTGAAAAGGTTGGAGATTGTGGAGCGCCGGGAGGCCAAACTGAAGGACGAGGTCCAGAGCAAGGCCCAGCAGATTCAGCAGATGGCAGATAAGATTTTGGTAACCCACTATTCACTTCATGTGCAGAGAGCTGAAATAATTAGAAGAGGTGTGAGATAAACATCGCTCATTGTCAGCGCTGCAGAGGCAGAGTGAGATTTTATTCATTCTGAGAATAAAGCCCTTAAATATGCCTTATACCCTCTTTACAGTGAATGTGAACTATTTTCTTTATAAGCAAACAGCTTACAGCCCTTTGTTTAGTTTATGGGACATGACACTATTTGTAAAGGGTCAGACAGAATGAGGTGTCAGACACTGACTGAATCACTTAGAATTTGAAAACAAAGAAAGGAAGCTTGAAAATGTTTGGATGTTTATGGACGATTAACCAAATCTGTCTCTTAAAGCAAGTCCTGATATACTGTCACGCTGACAAACTCCAAGTAAATATACATAAAGAGAATCCACAGTGTGGGAAGAGGATTCAATGGTCTTTTTCTGCCATACCAGCTCACATTTACATGTTTATGGTTTGAAGATCCCGGTTTAGGCAAGCCTGATAAATAAGCAGTAGGGGTCAAATATAAACAGCAGGAGTGAAAATCTATTCAGTCAGATAATGAAACTGAAAAAGGGTGAATTAGAGAACTGTATAAAACAATTAAAAAACACATTTCTGCTACAGCATCACAGACAATTTGATCTATTCAAAGATAATCTGAAACTTAAAAACAAAGAGTTCGGCTTTTCCTTCTTTTCCTGTCAGGAATGCCTAAAAGAGAAAGAGGCAGGCTGTGAAAGATGGAGAGGTTAGGACCCAAATAGAGGCAGGAGACTGAACACAAAGGTGTCCCAAAAACTAAAGAGAAGAGCCAGAAGGTTGTAAAGACCTGATTAAGTCGAAGCTCGATGGAGAAATGACCAGAAAGAGAATCTAAATCACAATATAAAGTAAAAGATCAAACAAAATAGCAACATGGATCACAAAATAGTAAAATAAAAACATTTTTAAACTGTAAAAAACCTAAAAAGCCATGAAACACAGACAAATAAAAAAGAATAGACCCTCACTTAAGGCAATGACTAAATTACATAAACAAAAACACAGACAAAAAAATCCCAAAATCCGCAAAGCGTGTGTTGGCTGACAAATGTCGAACATTTTCCTCTTTGCATAAGCGTGTTTATCCTTTGCCTGCTTTATAAAAAATGCACATTGCGTCTCAAAGCATGACGCAGCACATTTCCTACAGGACCCATCCCTGATTAGGCGTTAGCCGCTGTATCCAGATGCCAGATGTGGTCATTTTCATCTGTTCTATTTGTCTCATTGGGTTTTTTTCTGCAGGAGCTGGAGGAGAGTTTGCGTGAGACCCAAGCCACTGCCCAGCGGCTGGAAACTCATCTGAAACAGAAGGAAAAGCTCTATGAAGACAAGATAAAGGTTTAGTTTCCCAGCATGCAGATTTCTTTAAGCAATGGGACCCTGATAAGCCGTCAGGAAGTTCTCTGAGCTGTTTGTGATGGCCTGCGTTAGCATGGGAGGTCTGCACTGTGTCATCCTCTCACCGCTCTCTCCCGTTAAGTGACATCCTGGTTTTGGTTCTGTGGGCTGGATGGCTGGCATTGAACAGGTGCTGGAGGTTCAGATGAAGGCGGACATGGCTGATAAGGAGATGCTGGAGTCCAGTCAGAGCAAATATGAGGAGGAGGTGCGGGAGAAGTGCGGCATCATCGGTGAACAGAAGGCGGTAAGAACTGACCAGCTTGGAAGCGCAGCCGCCTCAGGCGGCTTTAACATTAATCATACTGACACAGTTTCCATGATTTAAATAATCCTATGCAGAGCATAACAAAAAGACCCCTAATTTAGGTCCAGTATGTGAACATGTAACTGAATCTCTCAGTAAAACACACAATTTCCCTGCTCAGACCATCAACGCCATGGACTCAAAGATGAACAGCCTGGAGCAGAGAATTGCTGAGCTGTCTGAGGCCAACAAGCTGGCAGCCAACAGCAGTATCTACACCCAGAAAAACATGTGAGCACCTGCACAGGACACTCATTTCCATTAAGTTTCATTCTCGTTTGAACAACACAACAAAGGCAGCTACTTTGGCCTCCTTCTGAGCGTTGATGTTTGATGTTGTCAGGAAAGCTCAGGAGGAAATGATCTCGGAGCTTCGCCAGCAGAAGTTCTACCTGGAGTCTCAGGCCGGGAAGTTGGAGGCCCAGAACGCCAAACTGGAGGAGCATCTGGAGAAAATGAGCCAGCAGGAGCAGAGCAATAAGAGCCGCGTATTGGAGCTGGAAACCAGGCTCAGAGAGGTGAGGAGGTATTTGGATAGGTGGAGGATAAAGACTCCAACTCTAATATTTGCTAATTACAAATAGCAAAGATGGTGAGACATGATGAGGCAAAACTAATTAACCACCCCTTTATTTCAGGAACAACAGGGAAAGTTACATATCTGAACACCCCAGCATTAAGGGGTCAGAGAGGCCTGTCTTTCAGCCTCTGTCCCCAACATGGCCGCCATCTTGAAAGCTGCCATATTGGATAAAGGGCTAGGTTTTCCAATGGGAAGGAGGTCATGTAGCATATCAAATAGGAGCACAATTGTCTCTGAAATCAATTTCTCTAATCAGATTTGCAAAACCTCTCATGGTTTAAAGGTTATCAGCTTTTTGATATGTTAAAAGTCCCTTGTGCTGAACAGCTTTGCACCAAAGGCAGCATTCCCAGTTGTTGTTGAAGCTTTCTATGTTCTTAACATTTGAACCACAAGAGATTTAGCTAATCTGACCGTAACAACTTGCTGGGGTGTTTAGATACTTTTGACTCATCCTGTATAATTAGCTGCATTCATGAGTAAATGGTGGGGACATGATTGCAAAGCATCATAACCCCACATAAAATTGAGTGCTGTGGATGTTTATATAAATGTACAAGTCTTCAAGTTTATATTTGTTTGTATTTTAAGCTGCCAGACTCACAAGTTCTCTGGAGAAACAGTTCTCCAGGCTCTTAGACCTTGGCTGCAGTCCTTTCACCTGACAATTTTTAGAAAAAGTTTGTTTTGCAACTCAACACTGGTCATTTACTAATTAAAAGACTCCTAATTTAAGGGATGAAGTATACTGTTTGTACTGGCACTCAATAGAAAAAAACAATTTAAAATGATATGTTTAGTCACTTTGCTGCTAGCAGCTTGTCACAAAGACACGTAATTAGTTCCCATTATTATAGATTCATGTACATATACTCAAAAGATAAAACAGTGTGACAGACAGGAAAAAGGATTTTCAAAGGCAGCAACAAGCCGATTCCCAAAGAGCTGCTATCTGAAAACTTGGCATATCTCAGCATGGTGTGCAGTGTTTCCATAAAACATTTGAGGAAACTGGACAAGTGGAGGGCAAAAGAAGAAGAGCTGGGCCTACAAAACTATCTCCAGCAGATGAAGAGGACCTGAAAGTGATTTCCTTAAGAAAGAGCAACACATCCAGCAAAGACCTGAACCAGGAGCTGAGAGATGCATCTGGACCTTCAGCTGATCATTTCCTGTTGGACCAAGCCTCATCAGAAATGCTCTCCATGGAAGTGGGGCTGTGAAGAAGCCATTCTGAAGGAAGGGAAACAGGGAGGAAAAGGCTGAGCTCTGCCAAAGGACTCAAGAAGTGGACTGAAAATCAGTGGCAGCAGCTCTGATGGAGGGATGAATCCTCCCCAGGGCCTGAGCTTCACATTATGAAGCAGTATGGGATCATCTGACAGAGAACGGAGCCAAAGGTAGAGGGTTCAGGAGTTGCTGTATGTAGTCATTTACTGAATTTAGATAACACTTAACATTGATGTTTGCTCATATTTTAACCCTGTTATTTTCTTCCTATTTCCTGCCCACATTTTTCTTTCCAGGTTTGGCTGCTTATAAAGCACCACGTATCAGTGACCATCAAACGTTTGAGTTTCTTCTTTTTAGTAAACTTGTTTCCAATATATGAACGTATATATTACAATTGTTATGTAATACCTGGTGTAAAAGATTATGGCTAATCTTTGAAGAAAAAAAGGGAAAGTGTGAATTATTTTCTCTTTTTTCTGATCAGAGGCTAACAGGTGGATGAAAACCACTGAGTGCTAGATGAGTTTATCAAGATGCTGAAAGGCTGAAAGCTTTCAGTTTATTTTAATGGCAGCAATTTAATTTTCTTATGGAGTCATGAAATTTTGATGCAGTTATGACACACAAACGGGTCAAATTGGCACAAAGAATGTATTTGTTTGCAGTATGTATGGTTACAAATGATGTAATGATGGGTGTCACAGTACAAAGTCAGTCTCAGGTGACTTGTAGACTGGTCCCAAATGCACCGTACCTGGTCCTCTCTTCAGATTGGGCTGGAGAACGAGGAGCAGAAGCTGGAGATCAAGCGTCAGGTGACAGAACTGACCCTGTCTCTGCAAGAGCGCGAGTCCCAGATAAGCAGCCTTCAGGCAGCTCGCCACGCTCTGGAGAACCAGCTCCAGCAAGCCAAGACCGAGCTGGAGGACACCACTGCAGAGGCCGAGGAGGAGATCACCGTGCTCCGAGTAAGAAAGACACTAAAAAGAGGAGATGGTTGTTATGTGCTATGTAGCGTTAACAGTGATGTCTGTCCCTCTGTCTCTCTCGTCATGTCTCCCAGGCTCACAGGGACGATATACAACGCAAGTACGATGCCCTCAGAGACAGCTGTGCAGTAAGCTGCTCACTTTTTTCCTCTCTTTTTCTGTTCTTTCACTCGTTCCAGAAATAGGCATCCTGACTCTGGGCTGGCAGCGAACACCAGCTGAATCATCACACATCATAACGAATAACTTACAGCAGCCACGTTTCAGCCCATATGCCTGTTAGATTTGAAAACTCCTCACCCTTTCCATTTGGTCGCACTTCTCCACCACGCTGTCATCCTCACTGTGCTGCTGTAATGTAATGAATCCCAAATGAAATAGTTTGTTTCCACAGAAGAATGAATGAATGAATCAGCTTCCATTGCACAAGTCAGGGGAGTCCTGCCTTCCATTAGCTGATTAGTCCTGTTTCATTAGTCTTTTTAATGATTCTGTAGAGCCACAGTTCAAAATCATCGTCTGATTTTCATTGGTTAATTTTTTGTAGATTTTATTTATCTTTACAGTTCTTAGTTTAAGTTATTGCAGTGACCAGTGGTTTTCCTTTCATTTCCAGAGGAATACCAGCCATATGTCCATGTGTGCAGTAGTGGATTTTTCCATTCGTTGTCATGAGCAACTTTGGTTTATATAGAGAATCTTTTTCTCTGCCTTCAGTTCTTATTTTAGAAGTGACATTTATTCCAAGGTTTGACGCCCGAGGACGATTTAGCTGTGTCCTGTTAGCCTTCAGAAACTATTTAAAGGACTTTAGAGCCGCCAAGACTTCCATATCACAATTTGATACCAGCAGCATCTCGGTCCTTTATTCTAATGCCCTACTTCTGAGACCTCCTCCCACCTGCAAACTGTTTGGAGAGCAGCAGCGTCCATCGATTCGGCTGGCTAGCGATCAGGGCCAACGCGGCCAAGTTCTTCAACAGGCAGAGTTTGAAATGTTTATTGTTTTTTTTACCACCAAAACATATAATGCCAGCCTGACAATTACTCTGCCTGTGGAGTATTTCAGAGCAACAGCAGAATCTCAGTAAATGTCGTTCTCATTAAATCTGGAGAGGTTTCCATGAGGGAGGATGTTTACAGGACCGTTCGTTAATCTTTTAGCAGAATTATGCACAAGTACCAAATTCAAGCAGAAACGATAGAGTGGAAAACATTTTTTTATAAGCACTATGCATCTCATTGAATGGTGTTTTTGTAAATAAGCCATCTGATCTCAGACTTTCTGCCTTAAAACTTTAATGCCTCGTGCATCATATTTGATGTATAGATTCCACTTTAAGAAATTCACTCTTATGTTGAATACCTCTTCTTTTGCATTTAAGTTTTGGAAAAAAAAATGTGCAAAGACATATATTGAACACATTTCAATTATATTTGTCTGATTTAAAAAAAAACATTTTTTAAAGAGACTTAAGAGATTAAAAACATCTTATTTATTTAGGTATTTTTTCTTAGGTCAGGCTTTACAGGGAGGATGTTCAGTGAGTTCCATCCACAGAATATAATATTTTGGCAGCAGCACTTAGGACCAGGGCTGAGAGGCAATTTAGATAAAAATGTATTAAGTAGAGGCTTTGGAATTAAATCATAGCAATGACATTTTTAATCAATTATTGAAAAGTTTTACTGTTCACAGGTTAAAAAGCCTCTCCTATTGACATCCTGTGATGATAGTTTTAAATCAAAGTCACAAAGGACATAATCCTGTGATAACATAAAGTAATTCATTGTAAAAATTTGCTCCCAGAAATCTTTGTCTCCAATAGGATACACAAGATGTTTGAGGTGGTCTGTGCTTCAGATAAAGCTGACTCAGATTGAATATCTTCTGCAGGAAGTTGATTAGTTAGCATAACCAACATTAATTTAGTTTTATTTTTCTTCAGATGTTTGACAAAATTCTGATGCTGTAGGACTTGTCATGCTTTCTGCTCATTTTGTTTGCAGAGACAAACTTTAGATGCATTATCGCCACCTAGTGGGCTGGAGGGTGAGCACCAGCATTACCAATGTGGCAGAAAAACATGGAAGTAGATGCTTTACTTTTTCTGTTAATCAAAAATAATGTCTTACAGTCATCCATACATTTTCTCTACGCAGGACAGCTCATCAGTCCCTTCCAGAGACACGAATAACCACACAGAGCCTCGAATTAACCTAACATGCATGTTTCTGGATTATGGTAGGACAAAGGCCTTCAGTTTGGGGAACGGGTCAGCTTAATGTAGTCAAGTAAAACAGTTAGTCCACAACAAGTCTGACCTCCAGACAGACACAAAATCCATGCTGAGGCTGCAGAAATATGCATCAGATTAGCAGATTTTACACAGATTCTTGATAATGATTAATCAGAAGCTCGTGTGCATTTTCTAGGCATACTAGGAAGAAACTGCTGGAAGTTTAAAGGGGTCGATCAATGAGAAACTGGTAAGGCTGTATTTAGTATCACCAGTTCTCAGTAGATGTTATTTCTAATTGAGGGGAACTGTAACGCCTCCAGCTTCCACAAATAGAAAGGAGCGATTAGCATTCAGCAGAGCTGAGGAAGCAAGGCTGCATTTCTGATTTAGCTTGAGTCCTTAAGTTGTTGTATGGATTACACTGGTAGATGAGAAGAATAGATGGGGATGCTGGCCATATCACCACAGCATCCATTTCAAACTGGACTTCTTGCCCCGCATTGAGACTTCCCTCGATGCTGTCCGTCCGCTGCCTCGGGGGAGCACAGCGCTGAGTCAGAGCAGAGCACATAAACAGATAATTTATCTGCTTAAAAGCTTTGCTTCTTCCCCCTGCTTCCTTAAAGTTTTGTGCATCCGTGTCCCCATTAGAGCCTCTTATGAGGGGTCTTTAACAGGCAGCTCGTGTCAGCATCTGTCTTATTTATCTACTCATTTGGCACATGATGAAATTATGCGCCTGCTCTGAATTCAGATCAACTTGAACCCAGGCTGCCTTCACATTATCACTGCATCATGTTATGCAACAGCAGAGCTGAGACTAACAGTGTTAATGTGTGGAGGAGCAATAATATGACAAATATTTACACACAGAATGTCAGCGAAAGTGGAAAACAGACAAAAAGTTGATATTTTATCCATTTAGATTCTCAAAGGAGTCTTTATTTTCTAATGCCTGGTCTGACAGTTCCTATCGTTTGGTTGTTGTTAGGCTTAGAGGCCCGAAAAGCTCAGCTGGTTGTGACCAAAGTGAGACAGAAGCACCCTAATATGTGGTTTTCTGAGTCTGCAGAGCTGCGGTTAGAAATAAAAGGCTCTAATTGACTCAGCTCGTTCACCGGCGGCTGCTGACGCTTACGTGGAGGTTGACGCTCTGATGTCGGTGCAGCTGTGGTTAAAGTAGGCTGTGGTTGTCATGGTGTTGGTTTATGTAACAGTGACTACATGGCATTGAATCAGTGACACAGGGAATGTATTCCCATGTTACTGTCATCATTACAACAAATGACTAATGTGAAGAGCTCTGTAGCTCTAGGAACAAAAAAAATCCCTGAGCAGAAATTTGTCTTTGGCCTTTGAGGATGCCCTTTATCCTCGTAGAAGAGTTCATTTCCAGCTTATCCCTTTTTGCTTTGTTTTGTTGAGATTTTATGAGAAACAAATATAATTACAGGCAGTCTTCACTGTCTGCTTTGCAAAATAAAAACATAATTTTTTATGTATGTTGTTTTCGTAAAATAGAAATAAAGAAAGTAGAAATGAAGACTAATGTGCACGGTAATTTGGAAACATTTTGTTTTCCTGATTGTTCTGCAGGTTATCACAGACCTAGAGGAGCAGCTGACCACGCTGACTCAGGAGAACGCTGAGCTCAATCGCCAGAACTTCTATTTGTCCAAGCAGCTGGATGAGGCTTCGGATGAGAGGGAGGACCGCCTGCAGCTCAGCCAGGATGTGGACCGGCTGCGTCGGGAGGTGGCTGACCGGGAAATGCACCTCAACAACCAAAAACAGGTGTGTGGTTTGGCATTATGTGATAAAAACCAGTAACAGGACGTTTCGATTGGAGGAGGTTCTAAAATGTTGGTTATTGGGTCAAAAAGCTGTCTGATGAGTGGAAGTAAATGTTTACACGTAGGATTAGATCAGGGAGGGTTATGAGAGAGGTGGTTCAAAGGCAACTTTAGTTTGGCACATTTTGTACACAACAGCATTTCAATGCTTTACAAAGACAGATTAAAGTTTAAATACTTGAATTAAAAAAACACAAAACATTTAAATCTGTAATTGCACAGTAAAAATTATTACAAACAAGAAACCTTTGAAACAGTGCAATTAATGGAGAACTTTCAGTTTAACTCAAAACCCATCCAGAGTTGGGGGAAGTCCATCTCTGTGGACCTGATTGGTCCAAACTGGAGGTTCTGCCTAAAGATCTCAGAGCTCTGCTTGGTTCCTGCTCTAAAATGATAAGCGATGAGTTCGCGTCCGTGCTGTTCAGCATCTGTAAAGTCTGTAACTGGCTGCCAGTTTAGGACTCTGACAGCAGATTCGGGATCTGCTTGATATTCAGTTTTGAGCTTTAAAGCAATATCGGCCTAATTAGTCACATGGAGACACTTGAAATTGCCCACATCTCCAACACTTCAAGAGTGGAAAATGTTGGCCAGAATAAGAGCCAACGGGCCTGTGGCCTTATCTCATTTACCATTTATTTATTAATTCGATCACAGCTGTGGTGACTGTTTGCTGAAACGGTACATGCATCTACATTTATCTGTCCATTTAATCCCATTATTCCATTAATAATGGGATCTTATCACATTGTTTTTATTTAGCCAGGACTTTCTTTGTTCTGTTTTCTGTAAGAAATCCCATTTAAGCTGCTGTTTATTGTAAATATATATTTTAAAAAGGAACGCTAACATGCTGTGGCAGTAGAATAAATCAGAATAGGTCAGACTGCTTCAGCATAGATCAGGGCGGGCCAGCCTGCATCTCTTTGCCTGGTTCCATGCACTTTTACACTCATATCATAGTTTCGCTTCGCTTGAGTTCAACGCGGTATTTTCATCAATTGCGCATGTGCGTTCAATGAAAATACCTCAAAGTTTCCTAGTAGGAGCAAGATCATCTGCTCTCGAAATGGGAAAAAATGCACAGCAAAACGAAAATATGAGGATGAACACAGGAAGTTTTTAACAGAGTGGGAGAGGTTATATTTTTTTGTTGAACTTACTGGCCATTCTGCAAAAGGAAAATGGTATTATAAATGATTATACTTTTGTTTGAAGACTTGCTTAAACTGAGAGTTTCTCTTTGTGATGCAGTGCACACAATGTTAATGGTTGAAAATGACTGGCCTGTGGTCTTTGTGTAGGAGTCAATTTCTGTCATTATCATGTCGGTGTGTGTCATTTACAATACATTTGGCTGAGCAAAGGTATGTGTGTGTGAGGAAGGGACGGGGTGATGACGACTATGTGGTGGCTCTTTGCGGTAACACGGTAAAAAATGTGGCTCTTGGTCTCTGACTGGTTGGCCACCCCTGCCATAGATGATGTCCAATTCCTGGCCAATCAGGAAGGAGATGAGGGTTAGAATTATGTTTACTAAAGTTCTTAAAACTCTTATTTTTTAGTGTGAAATAGAAAATAAGTAAGCTTGATAAGTGAGATTGTCACTATATGTTTTTATAGATTTAAGAAACTGTATTTGTTCACCTGTTTAGTCTTCATTTACCACAAGAAAAAATCCCTCAATAACTCTCTAGGAGGCATAAATGTCTGATTTTTGCAGCGAGTGCATTTTAAAGGGGTTAAACTAAATCTGGAGATTCATGCAGCCGGTTACAGGCTTATGGGGTAGGTTTAAAAAAAAATACAGAAAGGCAAAGACCAGATACAAACGACAAAAACAACATTAGCATGTGAGGGGAAGGAAAGGAGCTTGCAGAGATAGGATATCTACTGAGAGAAGAGCTGCATTTTTCTTCCATTTTATTCATTTTCTGTAACATCTGGGACGTGTCACCCAACCACAACAACAGCTGGGCCGGGTTTTGGGAGAGATTTTGGAGTCGGTGGCAGAAGAAATCAGTCAGCCATCGCGTTGCAGCAAAATTTCCCTAAATTATTGATAAAAGTTTTGCTCTACCGAGGCAGACTGTGTTAACAGACAGCTGTTTTCCTCGTCGGCTTCACGCTCAGCCAGACGCAGGGAATCGGCCTCGTGTGTTGTACTCCCAATCCCTGTGACAGGTGACCTGGACATCTCCTGGCTAAGTGTTGAGTGTAAACCAGGCGGCAGAGCCTCTCTGGGATCGCTTCGCTTTCTTTGTGTGCTGCGTTCTGGCTGCAGAAGGAGGAGGAGGAGGCTGTGCGATGTGCACGCTGCCCCTGTGGGAGGACTTGTGTGTGGGTGTCCAGCGCCGCTCTCAGTCCTGCTGATTGTGTAACCAGGGATGGAAGTCATAGACGAAGGATGGGGCGGCGTGTGGGAGGGATGTGTCATCCCCATCACTCCCAGGTCGTGTCAGCTGTGGAAGCGTTGGACTTCAGAGGGCTGTGGTGCTGCTGCAGCGCCGGCACAGGCTATATTTGTCTCCAAGAGCTTTTTCTGAAGCGGTGCGTTGTGAGACGTGAAACGCTTGGCTTTGTGTGGGCCCTCTGAGAAACACAGAAAACATACTGTGCACAAACATCCACAAGAGCCCCTGTTTAGGTCTGTTATTTAAACAGAAGATTAAGGCAACACAGATATCCTGAGGGCTCTAAATGCAAACGATTATTCTAATTACAAGCTTTTGTGATCCATTTTGATCCTTCCTTCAAGGTGCTTTGTTTGGATGCTTTTTTGAATAACATTGTGTCATTTTTTATCTTTTGATAACTCATATCACTTTTGTCAGTGTATCCTCATGGGCATTGGTGGCAATTTTAGGGGGAATTTATTGTTTATAATCTCTGATCTGTTCCTAATATCTACCTGTGACAGCTAATTTAAAAACCGTAGAACAGTAAGTCTGGTCCCTGGCTTTGTTTCTCACATTAGAAGCTGGATTTTGAACTATCCCACATCGGCCAAAGCTCTCTGGCATTATTATTCTTCATAGTTGCAGGTTTTATACCCCAAACCATGAAAGTCTTGTTGGAATAGCCCACATCTGCATATCCATCTCCCAAACACTTGATATGAAGATGGTTAAAGGTTGAGAGGGCCCCAGCCAAGGGGGGGGCTGTCTTTTAGGCCGTGTCTGGAACATGGCCGCCATCTTGAAAGCTGCCATATTTGATAAAGGCTGAGTTTTTCCAATGGGAAGGGGGTCATATTGCATATCGGAGAAGACCAGAATTGTGTCAGAAATCAATTGCCACGATCAGATTATCCACATCTCTTGTGTCTCAAAAGTTTAATGTGATGCCCAGCTCCAAAAACATCTGCATCACAGGCAAAGTTCCAGCTGTTGCACCCTGTCTGTCCGAGTTGCAGGATGCCATAATGATGCAGTAATAAAACGTGCAAATGTGTGATCCAAATAGAATCTTGAGACACTGAAGACAACGTGCACCATGCTGGAGGAGCAGGTCCTTGAGCTGGAGACCATGAATGACGAGCTGCTGGAGAAGGAGAGACAGTGGGAAGCCTGGAGGGCAACCCTGGAGGATGAGAAGACTCAGGCTGAGAGAAGGACCAGGGAAGTCCAGAGGATGCTGGACACGGAGAAACAGAACAGGTGGAGTTCACACACCCTCACAAACTCAGCCTGGCGTCAAAGTTTCCTTTGCCTTTTAGATATCTGCTGTGTTGTAGCTTCTTTGTTAAATTATATAAACATAAATTAGCAAAGAGTAATTGACTTTAAAAGGATGATAGCTGCTTTTCCAATGAGGGCATTTAAAACACAAAAGGCATTTTACATCGTTGAGTTTCTGTTTTTCCCCATTCGTGTTTCTGTTTCTGCTGTTTAGTTCTGGTTCCTTTTGCCTACACACACAGAAGGCGACAGGTTTGGGCGTATTCTCCTGAGGTGGTCAAAACATAGTCTTGGAAATAAATTAAATGATTTTCTCATATAATGTAGGCAGTGCAAAGAAAACCCAGCGTCCCTCAGGCGTATTAGAACACTCTGTAGCACTGCGATGTGCTGGAGGAAATTGCCCTTTAAAGCTCAAAATAACCGAGCAAACCAGGCAAACAGCAGATTTTCTCCCTGCTCAGGCTTCGTGCAGAGCAGCGCAGCTCTGAGTCTCGCCAGGCGGTGGAGCAGGCGGTTAAGGAGCACAAAGCGGAGATCCTGGCGTTGCAGCAGGCCCTCAAAGACCAGAAGCTCAAAGCGGAGAGCCTCACAGACACTGTAAGAGTTACCGCTCTTCAGAATGTGTTGTTTTGAACTTTTTCTGTGACTGCTAACACGTCCCGCTTTCCTCCCTCAGCTGAACGATCTGGAGAAGAAGCACGCCATGCTGGAAATGAACGCCCACAGTCTGCAGCAAAAGCTGGAGAGTGAGAGGGACGTGAAGCAGAGACTCCTGGAAGAAGTATAGTGCTTGCTTTTTCTGATCTCTTACTCTTTTTAGTCTATGTTAAAAGTCTGATTGAATTAGAAATAAATCACACCAACTGACTTAAAACAATCATCTAGAACATGAAATATGCTCTTGAAACTTAAAGAAAATGAGTGTCGCCTTCTGTTCAGAGACCCGTCCTTTTGCTAACAGATCTCTATAAAGCTCAAATAAAGGTTTTTGGCCTTTATTTGACAGGGATAAGACAGGAAAAGGGGCAGACAGAGTGGGAAAGTATGGAGCAAAACACCTCAGGTTGGGGCTCATACACAGGCTGTTTGAGTCCCAACTTGAGTAACTACAGCACCAAATCACAGCACACTGGATGATAACAGATATTTAGATAGCTCATATAAAGGTTTTTGGTTATTAGTGGCCTTTATTTGGCAGCAAAAGGGGCAGACAGTTTGGAAAAGCTGTGTTTGAGTCCCCAAGTTGTGACTCAGGCCGCATGAGTTAAGGAACTACAGGACACTGGGCACCGGCTTAAGCCCATCATCATTGTTAAAATGTGGAAATTACATTCAACCAGCATACATTAAAACAGTGTGAGCACCCCAGCTGGAAAGCCCGAGACTCCAGCTGTCGCAGCTGTGTAACACGTACGAGCTAATCTGATATCTCCTGTAAGGGAGGTACCAAGTGAAACATTAGGCTCCCTATCCTGATGCTTCTGCAATAAATCAAGCCACTGAACAGGCCACGGAGCATAATTACCCCTGAATCTTTGCTTCTTTCAGAAGATAAAGAACCCTGAAAGTCGGAGAGCAGCTGGAGAGCAGGATGTTTGACTTGACCATTCACTGTAAACGGTTTGGGGAGGTGGAGAGAAGAGAACCAAAATTCAGAGCAGCATCCTGGAAAAAAGACTTAATGGGAGGTTTGTTAGGGGAAAAAAGGCAATTAGAAGGGCGGCAGAGCCAGAAACTCAGGTTAATGACGAGGTTTAAAGACTTAAGGGGGGTGTTAAACACTTAACACAGGCATAAAGAGCATAGAACTAATAATTATTTAAAAGTAGAAAAGGACAAGAAAAAACAAAAAAAAACAAAAGTACAAACAGAAGGAATCCAGATTTTAACCCATAACTTCAAACACTGAAGGCGAAAAGAGAATAGAAATATACTCAAACAAGAAAATAAATCCTCAGTCTACATAGAAAAGGAGAGTCCTTGAGCTGTTGTTGATTTATGGAGGACTGAAGCTGACAGAATTAAGAATAAAAAACAGAAATATATAAAAGGTCCAATAAATAAACAAGAATTCACCAAATAATTTTATATAATATTTTATTTGATTACATTTTTATTTATATTTGATTTTTTTGTTGCATTTTTTTTATTTAGCCCCCCCCCATACACACACACACACACTTTATTTTACATTTCTTATTTGTGTATGTCTTTTTTTTTTACATTACTTTGTCTCTTCTTAACTTTTTCTTATGAATTTCTGTCAGTCAAAATAGGGGTGTAGGACCTGTGTGCAGACTGCTTCATCCACTGACTGCAGAGACAACTGCTAGTAAAACCAATTCCAGTCTGACTTTTCTTTGCTTTGCAGGTGTCTGTTTATTCCTGATTCTGTCAGTTTCAGTCTTCCATGTTGGGGAAGTTGCTTCTGTATCTGTGGTGGGTTATTCTGCTTCCCATGGTCACTTTATTCCTGCCCTTCTGCACATTGTTGCAGAAATGATGAATTACTTTGATCCAGGTGTGATAGTTAGCGAGCTAGCTTCTGGTCTGAGGTTAAAGGGTTTTTAAACAGTGTAACTGTTTAACTTCCTTTTGGAAGAGAACAGACTTTAAATATGCTTATTACTGTGTTTTTTCATTTTTTGATCAAAGGCATTAAAGCAAATCTCCCCACAAATGTGTGATTAGTTAAACATGATTGCTAACCTTATCAGCTGATGCATTGTTGGATCAAAGGTTCAGCTGGTCAGAAGAAGAGGGGGCTTCTCTGGAGTCCAGAGAGTCATCAACAGCTGCTTTTTCCTTCACAGCAAGAGAAGCTGCAGCAGCAGATGGATGCCCAGAAGGCCCACATATTCCGCCTCACCCAGGGCCTCCAGGACGCTTTGGACCAGACTGATTTGCTCAAAACTGAGAGGACAGACCTGGAATACCAGCTTGAGAATATCCAGGTGCTTCTGCGTACCCACATCACACCCATCTGCTGTTATTTAAGTTAAAAAAAAACTCAGACAAAGATTATAAGGGGTTACAAAGTTTGTGAGAACCCAGTAAGTCTTGAGCTGGCAGTAAATGTTTGTGTCTTTATTAGTCCTGTTTTTTCCCCTCTGTCCTGGACCACAAAAACACACACAGACATTTATATTCACACCAACACATACAAACCCTTCCCTTCCACCCACCTCTCTGTCTCCCCACCTCCTCACCCCCTCACCCCCACCCCCTCTGTGTGAACTTGAAGTACTTGAGGAGAAATTCATGGCAGTAGTGATGTTCACTTAGCTCCACCTGCAGGCTGTATACTCTCATGAGAAGGTGAAAATGGAAGGAACCATCACTCAGCAGACCAAGCTCATCGACTTCCTTCAGGCCCAGGCCCACGGGGGCTCCAAGAAGAAAAAGGTGAGGTGGATTTCAAGACAGAAGGAGCACGATAAGCAAAGATTTGAGGTGTAAGATGGAGGGAATAGGGCATTGAACGTGTATTACTCCATGTTTTAGGGACTTTTCGGCCGTCGGCGGGAGGATCTGTTGGCCGCCATGGCTGCCCAGGCTCAGGGTCAAGGTCAGGGTCAAGGTCAAGGCTCCCCCATACCCCCCATCCAGCCGGTGCCTCTGCAGTACAGCGACATGAAGGTGGCTCTGGATAAAGAGCGCACTCGCTGCTCTGAGCTGGAAGATGCTCTCCAGAAAATGAGAGGAGAGCTGAGGTCTCTGAGAGAAGAAGGTTAGAAGAAGCTTTGTGTCCACCTCGATTTATATTCACTAACCTGCAGTCATTGTTGTTCATGAAGGTCTGAGTGGGTCCCACACATGTTGCTTCTTTAAATTGGATTTAGCTGTTTGCATTTCATGTCAAAAGGGCCAACAAATTTATATATCAAGGGACTTTATTAGAGTCCAATTCACTGCAGTACGATCGAAATCCAGTCAATTCCTGTCCATTATGTTCAGAATTGGTACAATTCACACAGACATGGTTCAATAATTCAAATAAATTGCACAGAAAGGGGGGGGGGGGGTCTGCTTCCTGAACCTAAACCTGCCTGCTTCACATAAAGAGAATATATGATAGATAGTAAAAACATCTATTATCATCCATGTTTGGGTCTATTTTCTGTCACCATAGTCCGACAGATGATCTTCTAATTCAGTAACTCCGGAAGATAATCCTGGAATAAAATGAAAAACCCTTTTTGTGTTTTTAAAAGTGTGAAACATGGGAGCTGCCTTACATGATTTAAGAATTTATCATTTAATCCACAGCGCTTCAGTATAAGGATCACGGCAATGCTGCAAACCCGGCCGCCCGCCAGCAGATCATCATGGCGGCTATGGTGAAGTCCCCTGAGCACCAGCAGGTCCCGGGGAACCTGGCTCCGTCCAGCTCCGGACGCAGGAAGGACACTCCTACCCCTGAGGGTAAAAGAAAACCCCATGTTTACCGCACTTCATAGTCAGGCTTGCAGCGTGACACTTGACCCATGCGGCCTCGCACACGTTGTTCTCATCACTTATGAAGCTCTCACTATCCTTTTCTTACACACCTCTCAGAAGGAAGGAGGGTCACTTTCGAAAGTAAGTCGTCCAAAGTCGTGGTTTCTGCAGTTTGAGCTCTTTATTTCCTCTCACTTTTTTTCCCCCCCCACACATTAACGTCCGCAACGGACCAGATTTGAAAAGCTCTGCACTCTTTTAAGTGTCAGCTTCCCCGTGTTTGTCGGTGAGACTGATCAGGTGCAAAGCTTCAGAAATCTGAGGCTTTTTTTTTATTGGTTGCTGATGCTTAAGTCAGTCCCATCTGCAGAACCTTTCTCTGTTCACTACTATCCCACCTGAACCTCACATCCTACTCACAAAGGCACCAAACCTTTAAACCCCACACTCTGAACTAAAGGTATTATCCAGTTTCCTTTGAGTTTTGCCCCTTTCTGCGGCTCTTTCGCTGCTTATTTGCACGAGGAGGATGTTGAAGAACGACTCATGCTCTCACACGCCCACAGGAGCACACTCCAGTACAAAGGAAACTGTTTTTAAAACCAAATCCAGCTACGCTTAGCTGTCAAAAACAGATGATGTCACCTGGAAAAAGAATCCAACTTGTAGTCTGAACTACTGAGCACAGAGGTTTAGCAGCTGATTGGGAACACAAGGTTATTTTGAGGATTTTAGCAGCTAAAAAAGTGTGTTAGGCGCCACAGTGAAGCCAAGCCGGTCTCCTCTCAAGTGTCCTGTTTGGCCACTGGATGTCACTGAAGTGAAGCTTTGTATGAGGGAAAGCACCTCATAAAATGCTGGTTCATTACTGCCTGCATAAACCTCTTTTTCTGAGTTAGTTTGAGGTCAGAATGGTGTGAGTTGAGGTGCATGTCTGAGAGTTGTGTGGTGGTTGGAACCATCGCCTCACAGCTGGAGAGCTCCTGGGCTAAATCATGTCTGAATGGGCTCTTTCCAGGTTTTCTGACTGTCTTGGCATAATTTGTGACCCTAAATTGGCCCTAAGGGTGATGGCGGTTTGGCCCTGAGATGGAAACATCTCACCAGCTGGGATCGGCTCCATGTGTCTTTTCAGAGTGGCTTGGAGCATTTCAGGCGTAAGACCATTCAAAATGCTTTACATAAAAGATTTTTTAAAAAGTAAAATCAGTTACAAAGTGAGAGTTAAAAAGCAGAAAATGAAGTATCATAAATATGAGCAAAATCATATAGCAGAAGCAAAAAACAAAAATGAAGATAATTAATCCTAATGCCACCCAATAGAGATAAAAACTAGAAGATTTAGTCAAACAAAGGCAACAAAATATCCCCCAAAGTCAGAAAATTAAACAGAAAAACACCCAATCTGTCAAAAACAAAGTCAATTTCTGACTCTCTGTGTGTTAAGAGCCAGTGAAAACAGCTATAAGCATGTGTGGGGTTTATGACAGAGTTTGGAGCTTCTGCAGGGATGCACAAACAAACGACTCTGACTGGATAATGCCTTTAAGACGCAGCAGTGAGCGGGCGCCAGCACTGGGACAGATTCACCCGATAAATCCAAGCCTTTTTCCTTCTCATGCATTTTTCTGCTCGACATCTTACCGCTCCCTTTTGAAGCTCTGTTGTTTTCTGAGACGGCCCGGCATGACGCACCGAGTTGTTAGCAGCTCTGCGTGCGCCTGAAGGGGTAAGAGCTGTTTTCCCTGACCGTGTCCAGAGTACAGCCGGCGTCTGAAGGACAGTCAGAGAGACAGAGAGAGGGAGAGGGACAGGGTTGTGCACCACAACACCCCCCACCGCTTCACGGTGGGACTCAACATGAGAGCCGCCAAGTGCACAGTGTGCCTGGACACTGTTCACTTTGGCCGCCAAGCGGCCACCTGCCTCGGTGAGTCGCCGCCACCTGCAGCCGACGGCGTTCCCTTCACCTCCATTTTAAAAGAAATGTATGTTTTCTCTCCTCAGAGTGCCACGCTTTGTGCCACCCTAAGTGCTCGGCCTCCCTTCCCGCCACCTGCGGCATGTCCAGCGACTGCTCCCTGCACCTGAGCGAGGGCCTGTGTCGGGACAAAGGAAGCTCCTCGGGCCAGTCGCTCAAGGAGGCCGGTGGCCACATGCACCTGGAGGGCTGGATGAAGCAGCCCAGGTCAGCTGGCACCCAGACTACAAACAGCAGAGATCATATAGAGTTGTGTTTGAGCTGTAGAGCCTCAAAAATGAGTTCCCTTCAGTCACGAACTCTATAACCATTCCGGAAAAACATAAATAGAATCAGACATTAGTATAGTAAATAGAACCAACACTCCTACCAGCGAAACAAACCACAGTGCCCAATAGAATCCACTATTGAGCATAAGGCTGACCCCCATCTAGCCCCTTGAGATGATCCATAACTCAGCGGTGCATCAGGTCTAAACGGGCTCCTTGGACCTCTTTGAGCTCCTCTACTAAAAAACTAAACTAACTATGCTGACCGGAGATGTCTGTTCAAAAGCATCTTAAATAGGAGGCAGAAGCCCTATGTGGAGGATATTGTGTAATGGGGTGTCTACCTGGTCGGTCCGGCTCACATGCAACAGATAAATAGACCTCCTGCAACAGGAGCTGGGACACATGTAATGAGTAAAAAAAACACACATCATATGTTTATAATGTGTTTTATGTGGGGGTTGTCCACCAACTTACTGGGACCTCTCAAACTGTGGGCACCCTCTGAGGTGGGGGGTTGTGGTGGCATGACAGGTTCCACTTTGTTCTTTTATTAAAAAGGTGGAAAAAGGCTCAAAGACTGCAGTTTCTGTAGAGCTCAATTAAAGCAAAGTATCTTTCCCTTTGCTCCCACTGTGCATTGTGGCTACAGATGTGTCCACAGGTTCCGTTTTAGTCAATTATATACATTTAAAATGGCTCCACTTACACTACCTGTACTAAAAGCTGTTTCTCCCTCTGAGGAGAATGTCTGAAAGAGATTGATAAGAAAAATTGTTCTCATAAAGAAAACATAACAACATAAAGATGTTATGTTATGTGATGTTATAAAGAGGACATAAAATCGAATGAACTTCTACTAAAATGAACATTTTTCACTTCATAAAAAAACTGGATCTTGATAAATAATAAAAACATCTAAAATAATCCATGTTTGTCTGTTTTCTGTCATCACAGAAAACCACAGATGATCTTCTAATGCAGTAACTCCAGAAGCTCAATTTCCTCTTTGAACAAAACGAAACACCCTGTGTGGGTTTGTAAATGTGTGAAACTGTGTCCTTGTCTCACCAATAAAGAATGAGCCAGCATAAAGTATTGATCTTTTTTTGGTCAGTGCATTAAAACTAGCCTGTTTTTGATGACAGACCCTCACATGCTCCACCTGACATAGGCTGCCTGTTTCATAGTAACAGATAATAAAGGCGCTTGTACAGTTTGAGAAAACCATCTGGATCCTTCTGCTTTGTGTGTTTGCAGGAACGGAAAGCGAGGCCAGGGCTGGGAGAGAAAATATGTTGTCCTGGATGGCACTAAGCTGTCCATCTACGAGATAGAGCCCAGAGAAGGTTAAGACCAAACCCCTAAAATATGATCACTTTTTAAAAATGTGGCAACCTTTCATTGAGTGTGTAGTAAAATGACCATTACAAGCCCAGGACCCATTGTAAACTTTTAACTAGTTCTAAACCAACACCAATAGAATGGCTGACATAGTGTAACATTAGATTTTTTTTTATTTTATATTATCATTTCTTTGTTTTTTTCATTCTTATTCATTTACGAATTTGTTTATCTTATTGCTCTTTCCCCTTTTCTAAATTATTTCTTAATTCTCTTTTTAATAATTTAGTTTTTTAAATTAAGGTTGATATTATTTTCCATATTATATAGTGTTTTATTTTTTAATTTACTAATTGTACTGTTCTTCCAAAACTGATAACTTCAAAATAAAGGATTGCAAAATGAAAAAACAACAAAAAAAGACCAAACCGCGAGGGGGGATTTAAAAACAGTAGTCTGAATCCAGAGTGAATGTGTGTCACCTTGTTTCAGAGCCGGTGAAGCCGCTGGAGGAGTTTGACCTGTGTCTGGTGGACGGAGAGGTGGTGGTTCACGGGGCTGTGGGGGCGTCCGAGCTGCCAAACACCGCCAAGTCCGGTGAGTGGACGCCAGGAGTTTGGAATGTCGTCTGAACCACGGGCTGAAAAGTAAAGCTGGTGTCTCTCCGGGGGCAGATGTTCCCTTCGTCCTGAAGCTGGAGTCCCGCTGTCACCCCCCTTGCTGGCCCGGCCAGGCCATCTACTTCATGGCCCCGAGTTTCCCGGACAAGCAGCGCTGGGTGGCGGTGATGGAGTCGGTGGTGGCGGCGGGCCGAGCCTCGCGGGAGAAGGCCGAGGCTGACGCAGTGAGTGTCTGAAGGGTTAGCCTCGGCTCTCTGCCCCCCCTGATGTCCACCAGCAGCCAGCAGAGCCCACGCCACGAACACCAGGACCCCCCCTCCAGCTCTTTCTGCCCCTTTCATGGCCACAGGTGTAAAAAATAAAGCAGTTGCTTCTTCAGGTTGCTCTAATGAAAGCCCATCAAGTCCATTCCTCCCCTCACTCCGGGTTCAGAGTGGTTTTCCTTTTATAGCCCTGCCCAACTTATAGAGCCAAAGTTATAGGCTCACCTGCTTCATGACTCACATAAGTGCTATCCTGTTCTTAATCCATGGGGTTCAATAAGATGTGGGTCCACCATTTGCAGCCAAAAGAGGTTCAATTTGGATTGTTTTTATGGTGATTTTTTTACCCTTTCTCCAGGGAGCATTTTTTAGGTCAGACAAGTACCTCCAAACAAGATGGAGAAGTGCGAATTGTCCCTTTATGTATCCCTGTATGTATTATGTATCTCTGTTTTATACACCTGTAGCCATGGAAGTGATCATAACACCTGTTATGTTATCATTTGGATGCATGAGTGAATACTTTAAGCTAATATTGTATATATCTAGCTAACAGACTAATTGTCTCTAAAAATAGATTAAAATTCACTTTAAGAAGGTCCTGTCATCATTATGAAAACATCTGGGCTGTTAAGGAATTATGCAGATTTCAATGCAAACACTGTATGAAAACATGAGCCTTTCAATAAATAATTAAGGTATTTTTTTTATCATTTCGTGCTTTAACCAATGAAAGGCCACAGTTTTGCCCACAGGAATAAACAAAACCAGGAAACAGACCAGAAAAGTGGCGTCCATTTAGAGGGAGGCGTCCCGATACTTGTGGCAGCGCATTTTGCTCTCTAAGTTTCAGGTTGAGCATTTGATGGATAACCGGCAGTTTGGCTTACATATGTCGTTAACTGTGCTCTTCTTCTCTCCTCTTTTTCTCTTCTCTTTGTCTCTCTCATTCCCGTGTGTTGCTTTCTCATCCTGCCACGCTGTTGTCTCCCATATACGGGCATGCTCTGTTGATTTGCTCTGCTCTGCCAATCCCCTTTGGCTTTCGCTGCACACATAGGCCGCTGTGTCCAAAAGACTAAAGGTTCTGTCTCCTCTGGTCCAGGTAAAGAGCTCCAAGGATGTAGACATAAGACAAAGTAGCGGCCGCTCCCACTGAGAATCCTTTTAGAGGCACATTTTAGTGCATGCGTCTGTCACTGTGCTGGTTGGTCACCCCCCCGACCCCCCACCCCCTTCCACCCCTCACCTGCTCACAACTTCTCACCTCCTTTTGTTGCATCCTCTACAAACTCTGCACATTTTGAGATACCTGGTTATCTTTGGGCTGGACCTGCATACTTGTGTTTTTACCCCTCTGAGACCGGGACACATTATCCGTTTGACTCTGACTCTGCCGAGAGACACGAGTGTTCATTTATTTCATATTAGGCATACATTCAAAAGCCCCACAAAAGTGCATAAAACAGGTAAAGGGGTCCCTGGTGCTGTGTGGGGAATATTTTTGCTTAATTCAGACAAAACTAAAATGGAAGAAATATATGATGTCGTTTGTCCATAAGTGCAATCATAAAAAATTGGGAGTTGTAATAATTATAAAAACATTAAGTAAAAAAGATCATTTAATTAATAGCAAAATGTCGATCATCATTTTCATTATTAGAGAGTGCAATGAAATAACAAATGATGATTAAAAAACACTGGATAAATTATACAATTTAAAATTTTAAGTCAAAAGGATTAAATAATTATAAATGTTGGATAAATGGATGGTAATTTCTAAAAATAAAAATCTGTTGAAGAAATAAACATTGATGAAATAATAAATATTATGCTTAAAAAATAAATGATAAATACATGTTGAAGGGTATAATTTGAATAAATCAATTTAGAAAAGTCCAATAAGATTAAATAAAACATTTCTAATAATAATTGATAAACCACAATTATAATAACTATGAATGAAAAGAACCTAAATTTATGATGATAATAATTTATAAGAAATGTTGAATAAAGACGTGGGGTTTAGATTTCGTTTAACCCTTTTTTTAAAATACTTTTTAAAAAAAACCTAGAATGTAAAATTACAAAATAAATCATAAAAAAAAAAAGTTATGATAAAATATTAAGTTAAGAATACATTTTAAAGAAGTACATAGAATTTCTTTTTTTTAAATTAGATTAAAACATTTTGATAACTACTATAGTAATACCAGTAAATAGCTGGTAAAATGTGAAAGGTTTTATGTGTTAAAACAAAGTCTTTAGTTTCCATTGAAAAAGGAGGTTATAAAGATGTGGACTAACACTGACATGAACCTGAACCTGAACCTGGAGACTTTGTCCCACCTCTGACCCCAGGATCCCTCTCAGCCCCTCCTCCTCCTCCCCCCTGAGGTCGTGATGAGGGCGGATCCAGCTCAGCTCATCTCTCTTTGCTCTTTCAGAAGCTGCTCGGAAACTCTCTGCTGAAGCTGGAGGGAGACGACAGGCTGGACATTAACTGCACGCTTCCTCTCACAGACCAGGTAAAGGACGTCTGATCACGGATGGAGGCCAGATGAAGCCTCATTTCTTCAGGCTTAGTTTAGTATTCTTTTCAGTATTAATGATGTGAAAGGTAGGCAGCACTTTTATGTGACCTGACAGAGAAGGAAAAGAAGAGAAGGAACTCTGGTTCAGTGTTTTGTGGGTGCATAACGTTACAAAACTATGACGTATAATGTATGAATATTGCAGTCAAAGTTTAAGAAGGAAAGTGGCCGCTTGAATCCTGAATGTTCCGCATATTTCCTCAGCCCTGTTCTTTTTCCTTACATTTTATCCCCCCCGTTTAAAGCTAAAAACTCAGAAAACACTGATGTCAAAGCAGCCAAACACAGACAATGATGGAGTTTTTCTATGAAGCCTCACAGTATTCAAAGAGCAGATAAACTCCTACAACAATGCTCCTTTATGTTTATGGAAAAGTCCAGCTGGAAATGAGCCACTTGGGCTGAATCCAGCCACATTCCCCTCACTGGTTTAACAAAGCTTCCCAACAGGCTCCATGAGCAGCAGCAACACCTCAGAATCAGGATTTCAGCACATAGACACACACAAAGTCGCAGGTTTTCAGGGAGCAGCAGTCTAAACGCCTCCTTAATACTCTTTTCGCCTTTCTCTCTGTTGGGCAGATTGTTCTGGTGGGTTCTGAGGAGGGGCTGTACGCCCTGAATGTCATCAAAAACTCCCTGACTCACATCCCGGGCCTGGGCTCCGTTTTCCAGATCCAGATCATCAAGGAGCAGGACAAACTGCTGATGATTGTCGGTGAGAGTTGGGCCGGAACCGCTACATCTGCTGAGCCGGTTTAAGGGGGAATAAAGCGGGTGAACAATAACGTGTGTGCTCTGAAGGGGACGAGAGGGCCCTGTGCTTGGTGGAGATTAAGAGGGTGAAGCAGTGTCTGGCTCAGTCCCACCTGCCCGGCCAGGAGCTGGCTCCCTTCATCTTTGAGACGGTGAAAGGCTGCCACCTGTTCGCTGCTGGGAGGGTAGGTACCCCCCCCCCCCCCCCCCGGCCCCCTCAGACGAGACAAATCCTGAGTTTTAAAGCTGGGTTTCCATTGAAAGTATGTACAAAGCCATGCTCTCTTCGCAGGTGGACAATGGGCCTTGCATTTGTGCAGCGATGCCCAACAAAATCACCATCCTGCGCTACAACGACAGCATGAATAAGTACTGCATCCGAAAGGTGAGACGGGAAATTGTGCAGAAAGCAAGGGGGCACTGAACATAACCCATAAGAGCCAAGACTCATTTTCCCTAAAGAGAAATTATAGGGAATAAAAACTAACCAAATGAAAATCTCTTTTTGATTAAGATGTCAAATTCTATTTGTTTCACGTTAATTGGTGGTTTAGTTCTCAAAGGAGACCAGTAAGTTGGCTGAATTTTGGGGAGAAATGGGGGAATTGGGTTTGAAATCTTAACTAGTTGACAAATAATAAAACACTGACACACAGCTAACAGAAAAAGGACAAAATAAAAATACAAAAAGACAAAGCAACCATGGACAGGCTGAGTTACTCCTGAAAGGCACAGAACAACACAAGAAAGGCACAAAATTGATAAAAACTTCCCGAATAAATAGACTAAACATATACAAAAACACATAAAGCAATAGAAAGAGGCATAAAAGAAGCAAATGAACCAAAACACACAAAATGACCTCAAAAAGCCTCCTGAGAGCTGATTTAAATGTCAGCGTGTGAATTAAAGCTCCTCTGATGATGGATGCTCTCTGAGACTAAGAAAAGACACAAAAGTGTCGTCAGTGAGCTCACAAAGGCTTAAAGGGAAGCAGAGCTGCTCAGAAGCCGTTACTGAGGCCTGCAGACGTCCACCAACACCTGGAGGACTGGAGCTGATGGACTTAATAACAAGAGAAACTGTCAGAAAGGAGAGAAAAACAACCAGAGGAAGAATGGAAGCTGTTATCAAGAGCAGAGAGATTAAGTTTAAGATGATTCTGAGAGGAAAAGGAGCCTTTAATAACTAATAACTTTCGCTCTCCTCTCATTGCCTGTCAGGAAATTGAAACTCTGGAGCCCTGCAGCTGCATCCATCTGACCAGCTACAGCATCATCATCGGGACCAACAAGTTCTATGAGATTGAAATGAAGCAGTATGTGCTGGAGGGTGAGAACACACACAGAGCAGCTTTAACCCGCATAACACACTGCTTTTTGTCATATATATATATATATATATATATAGTCAAGTTATGTGTGGTTTGATGCTTCTGCTCCTGCCCAAAACGGATGGTCACCACCAAGAAGGAGGCTAGGCACAACTCAGACCCTCTTCCATTGTGTTTTATTTGTTGAAAATGGTGTTTACGTTTGGCGGAGGATTTAGGATTATGATTTAGGTTGAAAACCATTCCAGAATAAATTGACAAACAGAAATATAATTAGTTCAAAACAAACATTTTTAAATCAAGCATTTTCATTGTGGCGCAACCATAAGCACAATATAAACTGAGCACTACCAGGCCAAAAGCCATATCTTCAAAACCTTCCAACATATCTTCTACTTTTTGATAAACAACACGTTATTAACTGTAGCTGCTTGGAAATCTGCTCGGCTGAGAACCGGTCTCTTCCTTTGTCTGCCAAACTGCCACACAGGTGTGTGCAGGTGTTTTACCCACACAGGAAGTTACGGCCCCCAGCACACGTTCACTCCTCTTTTCTCCTGCATGGATAGCAGTCACATGAAGCCAGTTTTAGGTGCTTTCTGAATCCTGAAACACACAGAAAGCTTTCTGCTTCGTCCTCTTTAGAGTTCTTGGACAAGAACGACGTGTCTCTGGCGTCGGCCATTTTCGCAGCCTCGTCTCACAGCTTCCCCATCGCCATCATGCAGGTGGCCAGCAGCATGCAGAAGGAGGAGTACCTGCTGTGCTTTCACGGTGAGTGTTGGTTAGAGCGGAGAATAACACAAATATGGTCTCACCATCTTTATTTGCATGTTTCCTGAAGAAACTAAGGTAAACTAGAGTATAGGGAATTTCAGTGAATTTCTCCACTGTGAGATCAATAAAGCTCTTATCTATTATCTTATCTTATAGTGTCCAGTATATGTTCATTCAATGAGATTTAAAGGCGTTTATGCAGAGAGGTATTTTTCAAGACCGTCAACTGTCCATCAACTTCCATTTCATTCATTCACGTCAGTACTTGAAATCCGTCAGAATCTGTGGTTTATTTTTTTTTTCCATTCTTCTTCCAAAATTCTGATATTTCGATTCCCAAAGAGCTGTAAATGCTGCGGTTCTGCACCTGTTAACCCTCAAGTGTGTGTGGAAACACACTCACACACCAGACTGCAACATTCACACCACAAATCATCCCGTTTGCATAAAATATTAAACAAATCAATCATTTATTGACCAGAAAATGGAGTGACATATGGAAAACCCAGCAATTTAAGGGTTAAACATGTATTTAAAAAAGCATTCATATTTGATGTGTAAGATCAGGAGTGATGTTGTTTGATGGATGAATGCTAAGACTCTGAGTTTAACCCCTTAGATCCGTTTTTGTGCTATTGCCTGAAGACTGAAGGGAATATGTTTTTCTGGCAGAGTTCGGTGTGTTTGTGGACTCGTACGGCCGCAGAAGTCGCACCGAGGAGATCAAGTGGAGCCGTCTGCCTCTGTCCTTTGGTAACGTAACTGGTATTAAACGTGTTCAAGGCTTCTTTTAAAGCCGGTTGGT